AGTGAGGGTGGGGGCTGGGGCTGACTGGGCGGCTCTCCAGCTGCAGATTAAAGGCCTTGAACTTCAAGCCGGCTTGCGGCTCTGACTCATGGGCCCTGGCGCTGTCCCCGAGCGTGGGGAGTTCTTGGGCCCAATGCATGTCTCCATCCAGACCTAACCCCCTCGCTCCCCTCCCTAGCCTTGGGTCGGGGTCCCTTTTGCCAGAGGCCCACTTCAGGGCGTTCCATGCATTGACAAGCAAAAGCCTCTGAGCACGGAGAGGTTTCCCAGCCCTGAAGCCAGCTGCTTCTGAAATGGTGCACGCCTGGTCCGGCTGTCTGCAGCTGCCATCAGGTGCCCAAGGGTACTGTTCTCCAAACCTGGGTGCTCCTTCACCTCTGCTCTGTGGGGCAGAGACCCTTGGACACATGCCCAGTCACCGCTGGCAGGGTTTTGTGATGGGCCTCTTTCCCCTTGCTTCTCTGGGGCCTGCCTGGTCCAGCGAGGCCTCCCCACCTACCAGGGACTTCTTTCCTGCTTGGTCCATTCTGCAACTGCTGCATCTGCCTCTGCTACTGCTCACCTCCTTGGCTTCTTGGTTTATGTCCTTTCTAATTTGCCCTACCCGCCCCTCCCTGGGTGTGTTTTAATCCTGGTTTTCCCGTTTTTTGTTTTAATGTTGTGTTTCATTTTGTTTTGTTTTGTTTTTTGAGTCAGAGTTTCATTCTGTTGCCCATCCTGGGCTCAGACGATTCTTTTGCCTTAGCCTCCTGAGTTGCTGGAACTCCAGATGCAGTGCCACCACACCTGGCTAGTTTTTTTTATTTATTGTAGAGACAAGGTCTTGCGAAATTGTCCAGGCTGGTCTTGAATTTCTGGGCTCAGGCAATCCTCTTGCCTCTGCCTTCCAAAGTGCTGGGATTACAGGTGTGAGCTATGCACCCGGCCTCCCTTGTTTGAACATTGGAGCTTCTACTTCCCACTTTCTATTTTTCTCCCTGGGGTGGGCAATGGGCTTAGCCTGTCTATTGGCCATATTTGTGCCTCAGCCCCCAAGATAACTGTCAGTTCTGATACCAACTGACCATGAGAATGTCTGCCTCAGAGAGGCTATAGGGACCCACCTGGCTCCATGGATTATGGGGCTTCCAGGGTGGCCACAGCCCAAAGGGATGCAGAGGTTTGAACAGGCTGGCAGACTGAGAAGAGTAATAGGTGCTGGTTGTTAAGCAACCACTCTGATGGGCATGGGGCCAAGGAGGGTAGATATATTGTGTCTGTTCCACAACAATGTGGGTGGCCATTGTTATGCTACCTCTACAGAGGAGGAGTCCAAGGCTAACAGGATTCTAATAATTCGACTAGTCATACAACTAGAGAGGGGTCTCACTCTGTTGCCCAAACTGGTGTGCAGTGGCACAATCACTGCTCACTGCAGCCTCGATTTCCTGGGCTTGGGTGATCCTTCCACCTCAGCCTCCCAAGTAGCTGGGTGTGCGTCACCACACCCAGCTAATTTTTAAATCTTTTATAGAGATGAGGTCTCACTATGTTGCCTAGGCTTGTCCCAAATTCCTGGGTTCAAGCAATCCTCCTGCCTTAGCCTCCCAAAGTGCTGGAATTACAGGTGTGAACCATTGTGCCTGGCCTGTTTTTTTTTCAATTAAAATAATTTTTTGAGACAGGGTTTCACCACTTTATCCAGACTGATCTCAAGCTCCTGGGCTCAAAGCAGTCCTCTTGCCTCAGCCTCTTAGGTAGCTGGGATTACAGGCATGCACTATTGCACCTTGTGGTTCTGGCACTCTATCCTGTAAGGCTATCCCTACTTCCACGCACCCCCACAGCTATTTACTGTCTAGGAAGTACATGATATTGAGGCAGGGCTATCTAATAAGAGTAGGACAGACAACCTTCTTAACCTTCAGGGATATTGTAGTTAGCTAGAGATGGGTTTGGGATGGGATGTGGAATCAGCTGGACATAGGGAGCTGACTGGTGGGAGCCCAGGCGGAACCTGATGGTGTCTGGGAGGCCTCAGGGATCCAGGCTATGGTTACAAGCAGGACTGGTTGAATTAAGAGGCCAGATACGAATCGGTTCCCTCTTTTCAGCTTGTCTTTGTGCATCCAATCACTCAGCCAGAAGTGGAGTTTTTCTGCTTGGCTCCATGTGAAGCACTGAGGGGGCTAATTTGTAAGCCAGGGTTTCTCTCAAGGAGCTTATTTTCTAATTGAGAGGGACAGCTATGGGAAGACTTGTTACATTGACACTGGAAGCCATCATCACTTGGCAAGATTGAGGAGCACACAGCACTCCCTTCAAAGGTGGATACTGCTTGCTTCGGTTTCATTTTCTTAGGCTGTGTGGCCAGTGTGCCAGGGACCAGGTGTTAGGACTTGAACCATTCAGAAGTCGGTTAGGTGATCCAGGGAGTCATTAAAGACTTTACTTGCCTCCAGGGAGCTCAGAGAGCACAATATCCAGGAGAAAAAGTTCCCTTTTTGTAGCAGAGTACAGGTTCCAAGGGCCCTGTGGACGGTGCCTGCAGGCCGCCCTCCTGCAGATTGCTCCCTGGGCCTCGGTCAGCTTCTCCCTCTAGGGATCTGTCCAAAGCCCACCCTTCTGGACAGATTTAACAAGAGTATTTTAAGACTGGAACCTAGTAGTTTGGACAATATTTGACAAAACACAAATAAGTCTAAGGAGGTAGTTGCGGTCTTGTCGTAGAAGGACTTGGAATGCCAGGCTGAAGACCAAGAGTGCTCAAAACCCGGTGGGTGACGGGCGTCATTGAGAGGTTGGAGGAAAGCCAGAGAAGAGGCTTGCGATCTCTCTGGGTAGAGGCTGAGGAGGCCCAGAGGTTAGCCGGGCTTCCTCCGGCCTTCTGCTCACCCGTACATCCCAGCTTCTTGGTCACTGGAGAGTCTCACCTGACTGGTTTACCATCGACCTGCGCTACCAGGAGGACGGTGAGAGTGAGGGCGGAGGGAACAAATGTTTCCACCTCGGCTCCCCAGCCCCATTCCCTGCGGCCTGCGCGGGGCCCTGCGGCTAGGCCCCAGGTCCTTGCTGCGGGCGCTCAGGGCTCTGTTGGCGGTGCTGCGGGTCCGGGGCCGAGGCGACGTACCAGCCTGGGACACCTCCTCCCGGCTCGCGGGGCGGGGCTGGGCCGCGGGGGCCGGAGTCTGCGAGGTCTCCTGCAGCCCAGGCTCTCAAGGTGCGGCCCCAACGCCCCAGGACCGCGCCCGGAAGACCCCGCCCCTCCCGCTCTTCCCTTAGCCAATCAGGCGTAGGGGCGGGGCGAGGACGCAGCCCTTCCACGTCCCATGCCGCACGGTTGCCCGGGCAACTGCTAGCGGCGCTGGGTTTTTAAAAAACTTTCTCTACTCCCCGTCGCCGGGTGTTCGTTGCCGGAGGACCCAAAGACCCGGGGGCCGGAGTCCGGGCCTCGTCGCCGACCTCCTAGCCCTCCCAGCTGGCGACGGCGCCGCTGGCTTCCCGGCCTACCACCGAGATGTGGAGCCTCCTTGCCGTCCCAGAGAGGACGCGGGTGGAGGGCCAGGGCCACTTCCGGTTTCGCCGGTCCTCGGCCGGCCCCGGTGACTGTCAGTCCGGCTGCCGTGCGAGGGGAGTCCTGCCCCCTGCGCCAGAGCCGGGCGGGACCCAGGAGCCTCCCGCCGGCGCTGTGACACCTGCTGAGGTCCGGAGCAGTGGCTGACGGTGCTGACGGGGAGAACCAGGCGTGGGTGCTGCTCCGGCCGTCGGAGAGTGGCCCGGAAGGAGACCGATGTCCTTCAGGGGGAGCAGGGGACACGGGGACTGGCAGTGCCAGGAGGGTCGTGGTTTTGGGTGATGCGTTAGGGGCAGAGGATGGGAAACGCTAAGTGGGGGCTTTGCTGCGTTCACTCGTTCATTATTTTTCTTTTTCTCTTTTTTTTTTTTGAGTGGGAGTCTCACTCTGTCGCCCAGGCTGGAGTGCAGTGACACGCTCACGGCCACCGCAGCCTCGTCCTGCTGGGCTTGGACGATGCTTCCACCTCAGCCTTCTAGGTAGCTGGAACTACAGGCATGTGCCACCACGCCCGACTAATTTATTTATTGTAAAGGCGAGGTCTCGCCGTGTTGCCCAGGCTGGTCTCGAACCTGTGGACTCAGGCAGTCCTCTCGCCTCCGCCTCCCAAAGTGCTGGGATTACAGGCGTGAGCCATCACGCCCGGTGCAATCATTCATTTTTCAAATGCGAGATAAACGCCTGCATTCCAGGTCCTTTGCTAAATTCCGAGTAATAAGCGACGAAGCTGCCAGACCAGATCATTGCTCTCACAGGGCTCCAGTCTAGTGAGGGGGACTGACAAACAGATAACTGACCACACACATTAACTTCAAGTAGTGGTGAATGCCAAAAAAAAGAGAACTAGATCAAGCTGTAGAGAATGATAGGAGCTTCACTATCAGGGAAGTGAAGGCACAAGCTACCACTACATTGGAAGTCTCTAATAAGTACACCAAAATGGGTGAAGTTAGCTGATTTCATATTCTGTCCACTTTGCTATGCTCTCCTTAGAATCTGCTCTTGCACTTGTTCCCTAGATTTCTGCCAGTGTACATTAACCAAGTCTTGAATTATTTTGGTGTGTAAGCGATTTCCTTTTGGATCATAGTTGTGTGTCTTTCCCCAAGAGGATTTGGAGGAAGAACCTTTCAAGCAAAGGGAACTGGATGAGTAAAGGTTCTGCCATGAGGAGGAGATTGGTATTCCAGAAGCTGAAATGACATCCTTGGTCGGGGAGAGGGAGGGAGGAGAAGGCAGGAAATGAGCCTACAGAAGTGAGACTGTAGGGGCAGGAGGAAGCAGACTTGTCAGGGGGCTGTGACCTGAGGCCTCCCTGTGTCCTGTGAAGAATGGAGCATGGGAAGGTCATGAAGATTGTCCAGGCTTCCTCATGCTCATGCTCCTCCCACAGCCTGTGATGTGTGGTTGGGCAGGTTTCCTGCCGGCCCTACCTGCACCTCAGTAACCTAGAACACACCTCTTTGCTGTTCTCAACAAACAAAGCTCCAGGCTAGCCATGAGGAGAGCAACCGCAGAGTTTTCAGGGATTCATGTGATCCTCTCATCACTGCCTTTTTCAAAGACTTAGTGAAAAGAGTGTCGTCTGGTAAAAGACAGCTGGCAGTGGGGTGGTTATACAGGCCACATGTGATAAACCCACTCAACATTTCCATCTCCCTAAGTGTTTGGTTTCCTTCTTTCCCATCACGCCACTTACACCTCTGGCATCTCAACCTCATCAACTGAAGGCCATCGTTGAATCCAAATTTCAGCCAACCAATGGAACAAACTGTTAAAGCCACCTCCAGTGGTACAAGCTACCACTAAATTGGAAGTCTCTAATAAGTACACCAATATGGATGAAGTTAGCTGATCTCATATTCTGTCCACTTTGGTATGCTCTCCTTAGAATCTGCTCTTGCACTTGTTCCCTAGATTTCTGCCAGTGTATATTAACCTAGTCTTGAATTATTTTGGTGTGTAAGCTATTTCCTTTTGGCTCATAGTTGTGTGTCTTTCCCCTTGGAGCATGTTGAGATTTGGCCCTAGTTATGGGTCTGTTGGCAATGCAGAGTGGCTGTGGTGGGTCTTAAAAGGTGGGTTTTCCCTTTTTGGTCATCTGTCTCTTTCAGGTGGGGTTATCCTAGGGCTTTCAAACACAGGAAGGCTAGTCTCTTCAGATACTGAGGGATAACTACTTCTCCTGGTAAGGGAGGCTCAGAGTGACTGGAGGAATCAAGACTCAATTTCATCTAGGTCCAACCAGATGTGCCCATTTCAGGTTTTAGTATCCCCCCCCCCTTTTTTTTGAGTCGGGGTCTCACTCTGTTGCCCAGGCTGGAGTGCAGTGACATGCTCATGGCTACCGCAGCGTCGACCTTCTGGGCTCAGACGATCCTTCCACCTCAGTCTTCCAAGTAGCTGGGACTACAGGCAAATGCCACCACACCTGGCTGATTTTTTTATTGTATAGATGAGGTTGCTCAGTCTGGTCTCAAACTCCTGAGTCCAGGCAATCCTCTGCTCTCTGCCTCTCAAAGTGCGGGGATTACAGGCATGAGCCACCACGCCCGACTTCCTTCTTTACCAATCAATGTCATAACTGTCACAGGAGAGATTTGTGAATATAGCTGTTGCTATTCGGCAACTCCATAGTTAGATTTTGTGTTTTTGCTCAGCAATATTATCACTGTGGCTACAAGAAATAAGAGCTTCCAGGCTGTCATAGAAGTTTTCTGCCCATAATTTGAGCTGAGTTAAGGGACTTGGGCTTGTCCAAACATTCTCACTGTAAATGCTCAAGTGCACAACAGATACTCCAAGCCATGGTTATATAAATATCATTGCAACAGCCACTTGTTTTCTGAAAGCATTAGTTGGCACTTCAGCATAGTCAACCACAGGTGATGGCTTGATTTATTGCAATATTACCATATGCCATGGATAACTAGTGTTGCCTGTTGGTTAATTTTATGTATAGACTTGACTGAGCCAAAGGATGCCCAAATAGCTGGTTAAAGTATGTCTGTGGGGGTAGTTCTGGGAGAGATTACATTTGAACTGGCAGAGTGAGTGAAGCAGATCACCGCCCCCAAGGATGGGCATCGTCCTATTCATCATGGGCTTCAATAGGACAAAAAGGCAGAGGAAGGTTACATTCCCTCTTTGCTTGAGTGCTTGACCTGGGACACTGATCTCCTCCTGCCCTTGGTGCTCCTGGTTCCCAAGTCTTCAGACTTGGCCTGGAATCTACACCACCAGCTCGCTAACTCTCAGACCTTAAAACTACACCACTGGCTTTCTTGGGTCTCTAGCTTGCAGGTAGCAGATTGAGGGACTTCTCATTCTCCATAATGGTGTTAGCTAGTACCTTATTATCTCTATAGATAGATGGATAAATATGTTTATATATAAAGGTAGGTAGGTAGAGAGATATGGATACACACACATTATTGATTCTGTTTGGAGAACCATAATTAATTCTCCATTTCCATTGGCAAGAAGCTCAGTCTGTCCTCAAGCCCAAAGGCATGACCAAATCGTGCCCAAATCCTTTATTTGTGTGTTTATCTCCTGAGACTACTCCTTGTACTAATTCCATATCAGGCCACGTCCAATCAGGAGCGAGGTAGCACACAGTCATTTGAACAGGGAGAGTTTAATATATAGAATTATTAGCTACAAAAGGATTGGGATTCACAAGTAAATAAATTGTCATTAAGAAGCAAGGAAAACGAAATCATGTAGTCATAGCAGATAGCAGCAGTCACACCCTTGGGGGGTGAGTTAGAGCACTCAAGCAAACATGAAGCTTCGCTGCCCGGGCAGACATAGAGACCTTAAGGAGGACGTGTCTGCGGCTCACTGAATGGCAAAGTGACCGTGGTACTGCATTGGCAGCACTTCCTGGAAATGCGCCCTCAAAGATGGAAAAAGCTGCTCACGGGGAGGTGTCTCGTCAGAGGCACTCTGCTGCAACACCACCTGAAGGGGGACGTGGGGAAAAGCCGCTTGGTGCTTCAGGCCGTCGTCACCGCAGCATCCGTCACCGCAGGAGCCGTCACCGCAGGAGCCTGCTGTCAGAGGAGCTGCCCAGGCGGCAGGAGCCGGGTGCTGGAAAAGCCATGAGAGCTTCCAGCAGAACACCCCTGGACCATGAACGCCATCCTCCTGCAGTGTCTCTCTAGCGCCCTCTACTGACAAAGCTTAACATCATGCCAGTTGGCAAAGGGGAAAAAAAAAAAAAAACCCAAATGGGACAGATCCATTTTCACAGAGCAGACAACGCAGGATAAATTTGGAGCTGCGATGTAATTAATAACTAGCACAAGTTTAAGCTGTGTATCATTTACAGCGTTCTGCCAAAGGTTCTATACAACATCCCCGTTTCAGGACCTGACACTTCGAGTACCATTGTTGACTCTGCTGGGTCACACAGCCCATGCAGCAGAGAAGCCGATTCAAAACTGGAATGTGTTTAGAGCATTTGGCAAATGGGCCACTCGAGCAGTTCTAGAGGGAGGTCTACATGGGGAAGAACTGAGGTCTCTTGCCAACAGCCATGCGAGCGATCCACCATCCCAGAGCCTCCTCTAGCGCAGATGACTGCAGATGACCCGTGTCTGCTGTGTCTGTAGTGTCATGAAAGATCCTGAACCGGAAATGCCCAGCTTAGCAGCTCCCAAATTTCTGACTCATCAAAACTGTTGGACACAATATGTTTTTATTGTTTTAAACCACTAAGCTTTGGGGTAACGTGTTACACTGCAAGAGATATCTAATACATGTGGTCCTTTGTATTCTTTTGTGTTTCTGAGGTTTTTGAATTATAAACACAAGCTCTTCATTGAAAAGTATGTCCCCTTAAAAGCTTTATTAAACTTTGGTGTATGTTAGAAACAGTTTGTATAATTGAAGATCTGTTTTCGTTTTGTTTTTTGAGTCGGAGTCTCACTCTGTGCCAGGCTGGAGTACAGTGGCAGGATCACGCCAATCATGGCTCACTGCAGCCTTGACCTCCTGGGCTCAGGCAATCCTTCCACCTCAGCATCCTGAGTAGCTAGGACTACAGATAAATGCCACCACGCCTGGTTAATTTGTGTGTGTGTGTGTGTGTGTGTGTGTGTGTGTGTGTGTGTGTGTGTGTGTGTGTGTGTGTAAAGATG